TACTCTGTAATTTTGCTTTTTGTCTCTATAATCCAAATTTTTGACATGTCTTATACCACTTGTGGTCTTCAGATTAATAGTAAATTTGATTTCATTTGATTTGATTTCTTTGATAGTTTATTTTGTTTTTCTTGCAAGTTATTCATCTCTGTTTCTATATCCTCTACTTGTTGGAAGATGTTTCTTTTTCTTTTATCAAATTTTCAATGTATTTGTTTTTCATCTCACCATCATCCACTAGTTCTGTTATGGTTTTTTCGAGAAGGCTGGTCTCCTGATCACTTACATCTTCATGTTTGCAACATACTATTTTATTGTCTTTCAAAAATACCACTTTTTTTGTGATACACTTGTAAACAACTCTTATGGAAGATGCCCGAACAGTTGGTGCAAACATAATGCGAAGTAGGTTTAGTTTTACAACATTTATAATTCATTGTTTACTCTGCTGCTTTGAATGTGTTTGACTAAAAAGTCCCGTTAGTCCCTGCCTTCGGCCCCAAGCGATAAAAACCCACACTACACCACTTCTATTCAAGATTAATGAGCTTTTGAGCACTAAACCCACCCGTCAGTAGGCACCCAAACAAAATACCTACTGACTTGAATCATAACCCTCACTTTCAGAGCCAGCTTCTCTTATAAATTAACAAAAACTTTACTGAAGTGAAATGAAAACATTAAAAAGAAAGTGTCATTTCATGAAATTTCATTACCAAAAATTAATTCCTAATTTTTCTGACAGTCACGTCTTTTGGGTGACCTTGTCTCACAAACTATACTGTAGCACCGAGTTTTGACTGCAGAAATGNATGAAATTTCATTACCAAAAATTAATTCCTAATTTTTCTGACAGTCACGTCTTTTGGGTGACCTTGTCTCACAAACTATACTGTAGCACCGAGTTTTGACTGCAGAAATGGTGAATATGTTAAAGTGGATTCATCCACCTTAATTTATGAAATTGAAAAAGGAAGTTCAGTAGTAAAAAATTGAGTACAGTTTATGGAGAACTACCATATATTCTGAGCGCTGTTGTTAATTTTACGTAATCAAATTTCTATCAGATGACTAGTCACTCTTGCAGAACTTTTGTCAGGACTAAAAACTGAGACAAATTCCCATTGAGAACCAATAACACAATTTGCGATTTGTGACTCAAAAACTACTTCATGAATCCACCTCAAAAGGCACTACTTTAAAATATTTTACTGGATATGTTCGACATTGAGCCTTACCAATTTCATCATCTTGTGATTGAGACAATTCCACTAACAACTTGGCGACTTCATGCTCCACATCCATCATCTTCAATATCGTAGCTCCATCGTTGGTGACAGTCACTTCACCATCAGGAGACACCATCAATTTGTCCAATCCCTTGGGCCCCAAAGAAGTACTTATAGTGTTAGCAATTTGTCTTGCAGCCAAAATATGTGACTGAAATGAAAATTTTCAATATTTCAATCTTTCTCATGATGATCAACATAATGTGATATAGTCGGAACGTATTTTATGGACGAATAAAAAATCAGTTGTTCCAGTAATAGGTACCAAAACATAACCTTACCTTAAGTGCATCAATTCCTGTTAATCGTTTTTGTTGGTCTTGATCACGAATAATGATGAAAGGTCGACCATATTCGTCAAAAGCAATACTTCCTGGAAAACTAGACATTGTCTGACTCAAGAATTACTAGTGTATAAAAGAGATGAATCTGGATTTTTAATAATTTTTAGACTTTTATTACAAAACTCACAACCCAAACATAGCCGACACCAAAGACAACTGACACGTGACGTTTGGCGTATATGAGTCAGTGAGTCACATGACATGAGGCATGTTTTCTCAATAGAAAGTTTTAGAAATCATTTGAAAGTTTTTTCACATTTCTCATAAAATTGAAAATGAACTTTGCAAGTCGGCACAAATTCTTATAGGTCGGTCGGGTCTTTGAAATATGAATCTACCAGATCAATCCTTTTCGACAAAGAAATTTCAAACCCCACCCTTCGTGCACACAAAAATTCACATTTCTTATTAAATTGGAAATAAACCTTGCAGATCAACAGACATTTCTGCAATTCGGGTCATCCAGATGTGAATTTGGACCAAATTATTCATTTCTGACAGAGAAATTTCCAACCACCGCCCTTCGTCTGGGATTCGACCAGATCAGTCATTTCCGACAGAAAAGTTTTCAACCTCCACTCTTTGTGTATGAAAAATTCTTCAATTTCTCATAAAATTGAGAATAAAACTTGTAGGTCGGCAAAAATTCTCGCAGGTCGGGTCTCCTAGATATGAATCTCGACCATAGTATTCATTTCCGAAAGAAAATGAAGGACCTGACAGATTTTTTTTGTCGGAAATGATTAATCTGGTCGAGATTTATATCTGGGAGACCCGACCTGCAAGGTCCATTTTCAGTTTTATGAGAAATGGGATTTTTTTTTACTCAAGAACTTTATACATGTGTAGAAAGGGCCAACTTTTTACATCACTTCGATAAGTTACTGCGTAAATTAAAGAATTCTCCATTTACATGAAGTATTTAATAATTTTGTCTCAGAAAGATAGCTAAGAATTTATGCAGATACTTATCATAACGTTTAAGAAGCTACAATCTGCCTCCGTCTCCAGAATTGGACTAAATCTATATTTATAGCAGTTTTTCCTCCGCTGATTTTCTTAATTTCTGAACTTTCCTGACAGATGTCAAAGGAGTTTTGGAATGTGAATTATGTCAATGTTGTTGATTGACTCTTGACACATTCGATGTAGTACACAGATGATCAATTAGGCTAGCTCAAAGCTAGCATAGGTACCAAAACATAACCTTACCTTAAGTGCATCAATTCCTGTTAATCGTTTTTGTTGGTCTTGATCACGAATAATGATGAAAGGTCGACCATATTCGTCAAANACGATATTTTTTGGTTTTGCCGGAAACATGTTGGGCGGTACAAGTGAGTGTGAGAAAATATAATGTTTTATATGATTTGTCGCATGCAAAATATATGGACATTAATGTCAAAAATAATATTTGGAAGGAAACCTTAAACAAACTGCCATACGCTGCCTCGGTGCCAGTGTGTGTCTTATTTTTTCATTTTTTTAATATTTTTGAAAACAATACGTTACAGCAATTTTACGACATCCTAAAATATTGATAAAATTTCACACTATCATGAAGCAGTTCTTTATACAGTGTCGCTTACTTCTTCGATATCTCTTTTTTTTCATGAGTTATGAATCCATTTCCGTCTTTTTACTTGGTTTGCTTCCGCTTCTTCTTTGTCCAAATATATAGCAATTGCTAATTCTTCATCCAAGAAACTTGCTATCTTTTCAACAGATTGGTCGCTGAAAAATTATGCATTACAGGTGTGTAGGAACAGACGAAACGAATAGTTCTGTGACGGGACGGTACCCGTTCGGTGCCGGAACTGTGACGGGACTGATGTGTTTGAATCGACCTTCATTTTCTCCTAATTTTCTCATAAAAACATGATGCATTTTTTACTTAGGGAAGCAATAGTATAACGCACTGATAGAAAAAAACAGGGTTGAGTTGAAAAACAGATTTAGCTGACACTTCGCGCATTCGTCTGCATTTGATGTAATGTAAATATAAATAAGATATCCTCTATCTCTTGTGATGAATAAAGTCGATTTCCATTATTATTATTTATCGTTAATAAAAAAAGAAAAAAATGTAACTTTGTCGCCCTCAAATCTGCCGCCATGGACTTCAGCTTCCACCCAAATCCACCGCTGCTATTTCAGACTTGACGTCTGAAATAATTCAGCAATTGCCTTATCAATTACATTATTGACACAACTGTTCTGTTTCGAAAGCAAAGGCCAAGAAAACCTGGAGAGAGTTATTTTTGGAACATATCCTTATTGAACAAATGACTCAAATGACATCGTTCACAGTTGTAACAATTATAGTAACAGAAAGTTTGTCACACAAGTTTAATGTGGTTGACAAAACAAGACTAATTTTTACTGATTATGAAAAAATTTTGAGAAATGATACATTCAAAATTTGCATTTTACTTCTCAAGTCATAATCGCTAGTATGTTTTATGCTTTTATGTTGGCAACATAAGGCATCACATTGTGACAACACTGATGACTGGTAAACATCTGTTTATTATGATATATGATGTGACGTTTGACATACGATTCCCAATTTTTACAAACAAGTTCAAAGGTTTTTTAATTCACAACATTCAGATGAAATCGAAAATTCGTTCCTTTTATCGAGTCTAAAAATGAGTTATCCACATAGTTATGGTTCCATAACGTCTCCTCCTGCAGTGGATTTTAGTGGCAGCAGTAACAGTTCGGAGTTTAATAGTTATGCAGATAATGTAGTAACTAATATATACACTATAAATTCAAGTATCAAAACATTAGACAATGCTCTCAAAGTTATTGGTACAAAGAAAGACAATCAAGGTGTTCGGAATCAGATGTAAGCTGGCATAAAATACTGGGTTTCTGTAAATTGTCAGATGTACACTGTCTAAACTGGTGCAAATTATACTTAAATCATTTAATGAATAATTATTTAGGCTGAAGCAGTAGTAAGATTTAATGATTTTCAGACAATTTTTTCTACGGATCCGAATTGAACGAAAGCGCTGACGAAACAGCTTGAAAAACTAACCAGGCATTTATTAATTATAGTGTTAATGAACGCACTGTTTGACGTTGGTTTGCGAAATTTCATTTTGGAGATTTTAGCCTCGAAGAAGAACCCCGAAGTGGTCGACCTACAGTAATCCTTGAGAGCATTCGAGGACTCTGGTAGAGATTCCCCCATCAAAAACTGTGGGTGGGATGGCGAAAGAACTAGACATCAGCTCCCAGGCGGTTTTTGATGGTTTGAAACATATTGGATAGGTCAAAAACTCGAAAAGGGGGTGCCACGAGATTTGAACGTTCGAGGTCTTTTCTTGTTTGATTTTGCGCAACCAAAACAATCTTTTTTAGGATCAGGTCGTCTTGTGTGATGAAAAGTGGATCCTCTACATCAACAAATCATTGTCAGAAAATTAAACGAACTGAGCGTCAAAGTTACACTTCAACCACCATACTCCCCAGACCTCTCGCCAACCGTCTATCGTCTTTTCAAGCACTTCAATAACTTTCTCATTGGTAGAACCTTCGCCAATCAGGACCAGGCAAAAACGGCCTTCGTCGACTTCTTCGAACCCCCGGACAAACAATTTTTATGCTGGCAGAATCAATTGACTTGTATTACGTTGGCAAAAGTGCACTGATTCAAATGATGCTTTTTTCGATTAAATTGAATAAGTATTCACTGAGATATTACAGTTTAAAACAGACTCGTGAATACGGATAAAACTTTTCAAACAACCTAATATATGAAAGAGCTAAAATTTCACTTACATTAAAAATATTCCTTTCAATTTAAACAATAATGTTAATTTACTGTAGTGAAACAATCAGTTCTGTGTGTTATCCATATTTTGTTTTTTCAGACATGTCACTCAGCTCAGTACCAACCAGATTGCCTCTGCAACGAGCAGAAATATCCATAAAATGAAATTAATTGTTGCAAAAGGTGATAAACACAAACTATTACAAGTTGAAAAGTTGGAAGGAAACTTCAAAGACACTGTTGGTAGATACTATAAGCTGCAGAAGGTAATACATATTTTTTTAATAATAACAAATTATATCAATAAATTCTGACTATATTTTCTGTGTTTTCACTTGACATGAAGTGAGGTCAAATTATCTAAAGGAACAATTCATTCAGGCCAGTCTTCCCTTATCTACACAGTAGGTTTGAGTACTGTCAAAAAATAACGACCCCCTCCTCCCCCGGACTAAAACTACGAAGAGCGTTGGATTATATCTTACAGGTGTCAGTGCAGGATTCTTCACAGAAGTAATTCATGTTTATGCTTTTGGTGATACAACTGCCGCAATCGATTTTCAATTATTGGAACGGGCACACTTTCATACCGGTTATGGGATATTTGGACTCTCATCAGTGTTGATGTAGAACAGCGGTCTGCAAGTGTGCCCGTTCTAATAATCGAAAACGGATTCCACCAGTTATATCACAAACAGCATATGCAAGTGTTACTTCTGTGAAAAATCCTGAACTGATACCTGTCGATATAATCCAATGCCCTTTGTGGTATTAGCCAGAGGAGCAGGGTTTTATGATATGTGTCAGTCCATAAACCTACTGTGAAGGTAAGGAAAGACTAAACGAATTTTTCCTTTAGATAATTTGATTTATAATCAGTCTTCAAGTATGCCCACTTAATATAGGCAAAGTGACGTTTGGCTATTTGGTGGAGAAGTCTCTATTATTATTTATTTGAAATGACTAAAAAGCATAACATACTGGTGCAGATAACTCGAACAAAAAAATTCTTTAGACTTTCTGAGGTTATATACTGGGAAATTCACGTCAAGTTATTCTCCTCGTCCTGCAAAAGTTTTGTAGAGTGAAATAACATTATTATTTATGGAGTTCATAAAGGCTGGCCAGTTCTATAAAAAGTCATTTTCAAGCATTAGTGAGACCCAACTCAACTAAAAGCAGCTGTTTTTCATAATCCCCATGTGTGATACACCAAACCCAACCAAATACATATAGAAAAGGTTATTATTTTGAAAGATGATACTTGAATCTATTTGTTTGAAGGTGGTTGACAATGTTTCATGGTGAATTTCATTAGTTGGAACTTCCATTGTCTAATATGATATAAAATGATTTGAAATCCCTGAAAAAAACAATGAAAATAAAATGGGGTTTTTTGCCTAATATAATTGTTATTTCCAGCTATTCATTTTATATCATATTAGACAATAGAAGTCCGAACTAATGAAATTCATTTGAATCTATTCTGTGATACAGTAAAAATGCATTTATTGTTTATGAATGCAGTATCCATTTCAAAGAATGACACTTTCAATATAATTCAAAAACGATCAGATCGTTTCACACATGTTCAGCAGGAGAAATAAACTCTTTCAGACCCCATTTATAAGATTTTACATCAAAAAGTTCTGGTTGTGAAGCTGAAAAGCTTCTATCTTCTTTGACTTCATTGTGTAACTTTTTGCTATGCGGTCAACTGAATTTCGAAATTTGTCTTAATTTGTACGGTGCCTCTTCGATAGCATTGAAAAAAAGATGGTGGCATTCACCCTATTGCTATTGGTACCATTTTTCGTCATCTTGTAGCAAAATTATCATGTATGTATGTTTCTGATTTTTTAGGAAATTTATTTTGTCCTGTTCAATTTGGATTTGCAACTCCAAGGGGATATGAATTATTTGCACATGCTGCCCATCTCTTTTTAAATGAGCATACCAACCCAAATTCTCAAATTTTTGTTAAACTAGATTATACAAACGCCTTCAACATGATTCACAGAAACGATATTTTGTGAGAAACCTACAAAACTTTTCCTCACCTTTTCCCCCTTATCAGCCAATGTTATCACAATCCAACATTTTTGAACCTTGGAAAAAATACTATCTTATCTCAGATAGGAGTACAACAAGATGATCATTTAGATCCTAGTGGTAATAAATATTTTGTTCTCCAGCAATTACAAAATATCATTAACCTCTCCAATGAGATTGGACTTGAATTAAACTTCGACAAACGTGAAATTTTTGCTCCTTTTCACATGCTCACAATTCCATTCAGAATCCTTTTTCCTCAAACTAAAATCGTCCCCAAAGCACACTGGTCTTTATAGGGAGCTCACTTGGAGTTAAGCTACTTTCCCAGTTAACTCTGATGGTAAGTATTTGTTTATCCTCGTCCCTTTCACTGCCAGCTTTCCTGTCTTCATATAACAGTTCTCGATATTAGATCAACTACATTCCTTTCCAAATCCTTATCTCAAACGAAAAATACTCTTTCCGAAAATAAAGTGTCAGAAAGAAATCCAGTGAATAATTTGGTTTATAATCAACTTCTTGAGTCAGCTGAACGTTCTGATATTGAAATGCCTAGACTCAAAGTTCTTATGTCCAAAGAATCTGTGTATGGCTGAATGCTCTTCCAGTGGCTACTATGGGTACTCTCTTGAATGACGCTTCTTTGAGAATTTTGCTGTCTTCGGTTGGGTTCTTTAATTTGTGTTAGTCACAAGGCAGATGTGGATCCATTGTAGAAGAAAATGGTCATCATGGCATAAGCTGTAAATTTAGTTCTGGCAGATTTTCAAAACATCATTCCATTGATTATCTCATGAAAACAGCTATAGTCGTTGCAAAGGTTTCTTCAGTTCTTGAACCCCTACTTGGTGTCTGTCGAGATGATGGAAAGTGCTCAGTTAGCATGAGTCTAATTTCTTGTAAAATTGGGACACAGTTGCAGTTTCACATCTTGCCGCAACATCTATTTCCACTGGCGCAGCTGCTATGATTGCAGAAAAATCAAAATTACGGAAATACTAAACTTTTTTAAGTTCCTACTGTCTCTTTCCTGTTGCAATTGAAACTTTTGGAACTTATTTTTGTGAGTTGTTGAAAGAAATTGGTAAAAAATGCTGAACTCAACCGGTGACAAAAGATCCTATTCATTTTCAATTCAAAGAATTAATATCGCCATTGAAAGAGGTAATGGCCACATTGGTATTAGGTACTCTTCCGTCTACCCAAAAACTAGATAAAATATTCCTGAACCCACAAATTGAAACAAAATTTTCTATGCCTCACTCAAAATTGAGGTAACAAATTGACTGTTTTCCAATTTTCTCGGAAGATGCAGAGAAACTCTGGAATCATCATCTAAGCTAAGGACTTTAGAGAACTTTTAGAAATACTGGGAGTATATCGGATTCCTTGTAGCTTTTTATTCATTTCAGAAACATGAAAAGTAGTTTTAGAACTAGGATCTCTCAACAGGAGAGAAATCGTCGTCTCAGGTATACCATCAAGTTAGCAGTAGCACTCAAAAAAGTCTTTCACATTAGAGTGTTCGAAGAGAGCTACTATAAATTCACTCAACATTACACAAATCAGGCCAATTGAAGCAACCAATAGGAATGAAGTCATACTCACCACTGATGGAATATAATCAGTAACCTAAACCCTGAAAAATGTAGTATGAACTGTAAGGGCACTGTGTATGTTGTCTGCAGACAATGGCTAACAAATCTGGAAAATAGCTTTGACACAATATTTTTTGAATTCACTAGACATTGTGAAAAGATGACCTTTCACATTTGTTAAAATAAATATTATAATAAATGAGAATAAGAACCAATATTTCAATGTATGTGACTATGGTTAGGTTAGGTCCAAAGTGAGTGGGTCTATTCGACCCACCACCGCAACTCGCAAGGGTTTATTGTGGCTCACACTTATTCACACTCGGACAAATAAACCCAGCTTCTTAACGAAGTAGATTTGTTTGTATGGTGAGTGGTCTTTCCGGTCCGAACTTCAAAGACCTGATTCGGTCCCCAGCGGGGCAGGCACAAAGTATATGCTCTATTAATGAGGTAGTGGGATAGTCAAGTTGCAACATTCCCGCCTTGATACCCACGACAACCTATGAGGTTTTTTGTACGTCGGCTACACCTGACGATGCCTTAGATTCAGCTATGCTGGGCTTTTTCGTCTCTGGTTTTAGGGAATCATCACTTGAGCGTAAACAGATGCTAACCTGCTCATGGGGGGTTAGTTCCCCCACCTGAGACAGATTCTGCGTACGCCGCAGCTCTCGCTTCTGAACTAAATTTAGAGGAAGGTCAGTTGGAGTCGTAAACTCGACATCCATCTCCTCTGTAGGCTCGCTTCTGAACTAAATTTACAGAGAGATCTGTTGGAGTCGTAAACTCGATATCCATCTCCTCTGTAGACTCGCTCCTGAACTAAATTTACAGGGAGATCAGTTGGAGTCGTAAACTCGACATCCATGTGGAATTGGCCGCGGTGGTAGTGCGTCCGACTCATGATCGGAAGGTCGTGTGTTCGATTCCCGCTTCGATCAGATATTTTTCTCGAGAGAATTTATCTGGTTGAAGCTGGAATGATTCTGCAACCGTGTTAGGAATCACACGTTAAAAGGTAAGACCTCGTTAGTCCTTAGCTCGCACAAGTTTCTCAACTTCTGAGCGTTGTCGTTCGTATGGGTATTTACAACCTGAAATATAAATTTAACAATCAGCAACTAATTTACCGAAAAAGGTATATTATTCATTGTGAGTTTTCACAAAACCATGAATCAAATTTCACTTGGTCATAGTTTTGAAACATTGTTCTAATTTGTAGGAAGTTGCCAATAAACAGAAATCTCATTTACTATTACAAGAATATGTTACTAGTGAAAATGCATCTGGAGAAGATCTTGAACAAGAAAGGCAGGCGCAGAAAACAAGAGAAATGGCTTTTGAGCAGGATATGTTATTAGAAAGAGAGAGTAGAATAAGACAAATTGAATCTGATATATTAGATGTTAACCAGATCATGAGAGAATTAGGATCTCTGGTGCACGTGCAAGGAGAAACTATAGGTGAGAATATAGAAAGAATAGTTATATTGCTTTAGTTACTGCCCAGCAAGTTTTCTTAACTCTTTCGCACACTGACAGTTCAGAATTCAAAATAACAACAATAAATTTCAAGAACATACTATTGAAAAAAGGAAATAATTCCATTACAGAAGAAGATATTATTAACATGTACATAGGTCCGTAAACATGAATCGATATATATTGGTTCAAGACTAATTTTAAATTCATTAATTGTTTTCGCAACTTTTATGTGATAAAGTAGTTCAATATAATCTTTCAAACCATTATAAAATAATGAAACATCAATTCTTCCCCAAATCTAAGGATATTTCCTTATCTTTTCATGAAAATGACGTCACAATTTTCCTAAAACTCTACGGAAATTAAGGAATGAGGTTAAGTATAGAAAATGAGCCAATTTCCGCCTCGGCTCCATTAGTATCAACAATTCGCAAATACTTCCAAGATCTTACGTTGGTATAGAGGCTAAGGACAGAGTCTACCACGACGACGACCTCAGTTTAATTCTCTAACCGGTAATTTTTTTTAATTTAATTTCCCTCAGCAGCCGATGTTCACTAGGACCACGTGACTGGTACGTGAAAAGGGGGCTCGGCGGGTGAAGCCCTAAGGAGGCCCGAGGGGTGTGGCGGAGTCCTAAGGGGGCCCATGGTATTTGAATCTCTCCTCGATTACGTCACATGTTTCTCTCTCCCACTCACTAAAGTCTCTCTCTGAAAAACATCACATCTACCTCGAGTTGGGTGTACCACAAGGTTCCGATCGGAGGTCGTAAAATTGCAAAAAATGAAGCGCCATAAGAAAAAGCATGGGATTTGAGGCTCGTACCGGCCGTGTTAATCTATCATCATAATTGAAAAACAGATACTGATCACTGATATAATAATATGCTTTTAGGTATACACATGAATGAGTGGACAAAATAATCTGTAAAATCATTACAGTAAAGGAGTTCCTGATAAATAATTATTAAAGATGTTAAGACATAATACAAATTCTATACAACTGTACCTCAATATTGGCCAAGAGCATCATAATACAAATGTTACTAAAATGTCTCAGCATCAACAAAGCTTCTGGTCCCGTTGAAGTTCCTGTCATCTTATTATACAAAGACGCCAATGAACTTGCATCACCAAAAATAGGTTTTTCGTTTTGGTTGAGTTCAACCCATATCTGAAAAGGGCAAGACAAATCTTTCAAATAACTAAAAACTAGTTGTTTAACTATCAGTGTAATTGAAAATCATGTAAAAAGCTGTTATTCAACATATCCTCCTAAATATTTGGAATGTTTAACATCTAAAGCAATCATCAATATGATTTCAGGAAGCAAAGATCAGCAGGAGGACCCGTTACATATTATATCACCCACCTTTCTAACAATGAAATTAAGAAACAATGAGAGTCTCAGGCTGTTGAGCTCGATATTTCCTTGGCCTTGATAAGGCTTTCAACATGTCTGACATGAGTCTTCAATAATTAATTTTCAAAGTTATGTCTTGTTAAATCTCCTTTGTGGCTCTCCAGTTTTCTTAAGTGACCATAGATACTTCTCTCTCACGTTTAGCATCAAAGTTTTTGTTCTCCAGTGATCAACATTGTCTCCTACCCTTTTTTTACATTCAACGATTTTCCATTGATCTTTTTGGGGATTTTCATCTCCCACAATCTAAAAAAAAATGTAATGGTGAACTTTATACAGGTGTAGAAAGGGCAAACTTATCGAAGCGAACTAAAAAGTTTGTATAAGGTTCTCCATTACAATTTTTTTTCGGGTCGTGAAAATACCAAAAAAGGTTAATGTCCTCTCTCTTATAAAACAAAATGTAGGGTGTCTCCAGAGGCTCCAATAAATTCGATGCATCGCCAGAACACTTCGTGACACGACTATCGTCAAGTTCAAACCAGTCCGTTTCAAACCAAGGCCTAATAATGACCAAATTCATCGCCAGAACCATAGTGAACAATGACTGCATGAATATTATAATAGTGGTCTGCTAGGTTGAAACGTTCATTTATTTCGAACCTTCCAAAGAGTTTCTTGCTTCCGTTAGAGGTTGAGTCTTGTTTGAAAATCATCCGCGATAGTCTGGATTTCTCAATATAATTCATTTGCATTTTAAGAAGTACATTTTTTGTTCAATTCAACTAACATCGTATCTTCTATCATCAGATAGCAAAAGTCTGCAAGGGAAGAACTATTTTGCAGGTCTGCAGATCAGCAAATTGTTCTCAGGGAACATTAATCTTGTGATCTCGTAGAAAGTCTGAAATAATTGCAGATCGGGCCTCCCAGATATGAATCTCGACCATATTGATCATTTCCGACTGAAAAATTTTCAACCCTCACCCTTCGTGTGTGAAAAAAATTCACATATCTCATTAAATTGAAAATGAACTTTGCAAGTCGGCACAAATTCTTATAGATCGGTCGGGTCTTTGAAATATGAATCTACCAGATCAATCATTTTCGAGAAAGAAATTTCAAACCCTACCCTTCGTGCATACAAAAATTCACATTTCTTATTGAATTGGAAATAAACCTTGCAGATCAACAGATATTTTTGCAATTCAATAATTTTTGCCAAAAAATAACTGAGAAATCATACAGATACTCATCTTGATGTTCCGGAGGCTAAAATCGGCTTTCTTCTTCAGAATTTGACGAAATTTAAGTCTACGAGCAGTATTTTCTTCGCATGAATGCTGCGTCGCAACAATCGGTGTTGTTCTCCTACGACACGATCTAGATTGAGTACCTACGTCGCTTGCAACACTTCCACTCGGGAATTAAGGTCGATTCAAACACATCAGTCCCGTCATGTCACAGTTCCGGTGCCGAACGGAACAATCCGTCATAAAAAATATTCTTTAATAGAAATATGCCACCGGCGTTCACATTCATCCATTGTCGAACAGTTTCCAAGCACCCAGGTTTCGACTCGTCTACCGTCCGACCGATTTTATAATCTCCGCGACGATATTTTTTGGTTTTGCCGGAAACATGTTGGGCGGTACAAGTGAGTGTGAGAAAATATAATGTTTTATATGATTTGTCGCATGCAAAATATATGGACATTAATGTCAAAAAT